TATTTAAAATATAAAAATTTGTGCAAATTTTTATTTTTTTATTCTGAAAATTTCCAGCAGGTTAAATTTTTGCAAATTTTTATATATTAAATTTGCTTAAAAATTTGTGCAAACTTGCATCAAATTTATTTTCTTGATGAAGTAGTTATGTAATACAATTATGCTAAACCAAAAAAAATTATAATATGACAGATTTGTAATCTTATAGATGAATTAATACAGAATTGAGAAATATAAATTGCTGATTTTCAATATAAATTGACCTTATCAAAATAAATTCTGAATTCCTATCACTATCAGACTTTTAACAAAGTACTCATATATTTAGTTAGTACAAAACCAGTTTATATAAATGATCTGTATAAGCTTTTTAAATAATATATCATTAATTGAGATCAAAATCAATTGGTTAAATGGGTTAAATGATAAAGAATGCATATGTAGTGTATTATCTATTATAAATATCACAATAGCTATATATTTTACAATATTCTGTTGTGATTTAGATAATATGCTAAATTAATAATTATTTATTGTTGTATATATATAAGTTCTTTACATTATTATCAAAGCAAGTAAAAACCTTTAAAAAAAGATATGCATATTTACAGATAAATTTTTTGTTTGCTGATTATAATAATGTATATACTGTATATTTGTATATATATATATATATACCTGATATATAACTATAGCAAATTATAATACCGATCTTAATAAAAAGCTCATAGTACTTGTATTATTACAAGCTTTTGTAATTTGAATATTTATATATAATATAAATATTTTATATAAACAGAATAATAAAATAAAAATAAAAAGATATATGTCTATTTAGAATGAAGTGTTATTTTTACAAGATTAGGTTTTCTTTAACTGTCAATATATACAACTTCTGATTTACTTAAGAAATTGATTTTTTATGATTTAATAAAAATATATTGTAATTGAATAGATTAATAAATTGATATTATATAATATTTATTATTTAAAATTCATAATAGAACTATCTACCTATTAAATTGTGTAGCAACAATTTCATCTATATCGTATATACTTTCTTGTACATTATTATTGTCAGACTTAATTTCATTAATTTCTTCATTTTCATAACTATTTTTAGAAGTTGTAAAAACTAAAGATTTAAGATCAATAAAAGTTGAAATATATAAATATAAATCTTGTTCATTTGAATAAAGATTTTTAGTAGGATTAAGCAACTCTATATTTTCCTCTTCTGTTAATACTTTTTCAAATTCTTTAAAAACAGTCTCTGCAATATTTGTTATTATTTCAGGAGTTATTTCTGTAGTTTGGATATGATAAAGCTGATCTATAGAGTTGGATAAATTAAACTAATAAACTTTTGCCAATCCTTCTAATCAATCTATATCTGATTAAATTTGATACTTTTTATAAATCCATTCTAATGCCGAAAATATTCGTTTACAAATAGCTGAACTTGGTGTAATAGAAAAAAGTTTAATTGCCAAATATTGTAAGTGATTAGGATTAGCTTTACACATATTCTACTATATTAGTGATATATTATTGCTAATTGAATAGGAAGCAGTATAAGGATTTGGATTTCTGTTTATATGTATTTGTTGTTTTTTATAAA